CCCCCGGGGGGGGGGGGGGGATTTAGGGTGTTTAGGAAATTTGGGGGTTTGGGGGGGGGGGGGGGGGGGGGGGGGGGTATTAGTAAAATACGCTCTCACCCACCCTGACCGAGTGTGGATGTAGGTATGAATTGAAAAAGACCAGCATCCACATACAAAAATCCGTACTCCCATATCTGCACACCGCTTACACCCACGACAAACCCACATCTACACCCCAGTCGTACTTACAGTCTAACCGATACCCACGACCACTACACAGACATCCAAACCAAATTCCACAGCCACCACACACTCTCATATCTGCACCTTGTGAGATTGAGTGTAAGTGTGGATGTGAATATGAAGTAAGTGTGAGATTGGGTGTAAGCGGGTATAGACATGGGAGTGCGTATTTTTGTATGTGAATGTGGGTCTTCCATCGACACCTACGCCCACACCTTATTCACATCCCACGCTCATACCCATAGTAAGCCATACCTCATCCACAGCCTACACCCATCCCACTCAGAGCCCACACGTCCATACTTCTATCCAACCCACACTCATACCTACGTCCTGTTGTTAAGATCTGGGCAAGAGTGGACCCATAAAAGTGATATTTGATTCTTTTGCCTAAAAGTTATTGAAGAAAATGAGCCGGATTGGGACCTCATGAATGGAAAATTTTATTCTGTATCGATTGATACTATTTTCGAATAAAAACGGTGGTCAGAGTGGATGAGAGCTTATTTTACTAATACTTGGGGTTGGATGAGCGCGGGTGTGCATGTGGGTCTGGATGCGGGTGCTAGTGAGGGTAGAGAAGTAAATATTATCCACACCCAGTCTCACATATTATCTTAAAACTTTTCAGAGAGAGGTTAATTTTCAAGTATTCTCAGAGATTTCTTCACTGCTTTCGAACAAAAACTGACATAGAATGTCTACGTCGATATTCAGAAAGAGCACAGAATTCTGATTCTAATCAGCAAATTTTCACTCGTTTGAAATACTTTCAAGCGTGTCAAAAATCAGCTAACAATTTGTTGGAAAACTTTCGATTCACCTGTTATTTATAGAAAAGCACATAAGCTTATTCAGCGTTAGTTCTAAATACTACATTTAGACATATGCGAGACCAATCTTTTTTGGCCCTTGTAAGGAAAAGAGTTTATGCATATCCCACTGGGAGTGGGTCCATACCGACCAATATTGTATGGATCGATCAAACAAAATGAAATTATATCTTTTTATTCGAAGAGTATTTTATTTAATAAAATGTGTTTTTAATGAATGAATATAATAAATCAGGATTCTATTCAGTTTTTGAAAAATAGCAGCACTAAAGTGATTTCGATTATATAAATGTAGTTTAACAGTTCAGCGATATGACATGAGAATCTATTTCATTATGGTGTAGCTCACGTTGACACCAAATCCTGAATTATCAGGTCGAAAATATAATGGTGTACGCGCGATAATATTTGATGTTAAATTAGCACTTCCAACACTGAATGCAATAGTGCCAGATGTTGTAGCAATAGATGTTAATCCATCTTGAATACCAACTGCAATATAGGTTCCGGGAAAAACATTGATTACGTTTGCAGTTATATTATAGGTTTGTTTTAATTGTGTTGTTGATATTTGAGAAAAAGGAACCAAATATTGACTACAGGCCATATAACCACCAAGAATTGGGATAATGCCATAGATCCAAATACGAGTTGATGCAGTTGGTAATCTTGATTGAACATATCGAACAGACACAGTTCGAACGTAACCATTTACTGTACTCGAATCATTGAGATTAAAAAATGTATTATTTGGTATAACATATCCACCACTGAGATTTCGATTCGGGGGATTGAGAGTAAAAACTGAACAAAACAGAATGATAATTATAAGAGAAAGATATAAAGTTCTAGTTAGATAGAAATCTTACTTATTCCATTAGTCACAACTTGAACTAAATAAAACGGAGATAAGAATAAATTAGCATACAAATTAAAAGAAAAGAAAGAACGCTTATTTTTACTCATGTCGATGTTTTAGTTAAAATTTTTAATATGTTATTATTAATTTAAGTAATAAAAATTTCGCAAGGTATTTCATTCGCAATTAGTTACAACTAAATTAAGTCTTCATAAGGAAAGTTTTTTGTATTAAGATCGAGTAGTATTCGACTAAAACGTTTGGCATTGCAATCATAATCAAGGAAGGAATAATCTCAATATTAAACATTATAGATATTGAATGCCATAAAAGCTGATTTCAAAAAAATGTTGACAACTATATTGCATGACATTTGGATACGTTGCATTTCTCTTAGAAATAGCAATAGAACGATACAAATAAAAACTTGCAATCAATTTATTCTCATGTCTATTGATTCTTGAAATTTTTCAATATCATTTTTATGAATGGATTTCATCTTTCAGTGCACGGTAGTATTTATTAAAATTACTTGCTTTATCGATGAAGTAATCATCAATAACATTGCTCAGATCAGATTCAGCACATGAGATCAAATAAAAAAGTTACTTGTGAGAAAACGTGAAGAGCAAGCATATTAACACGTGACAATGCAGTTTTTCTATCGATTTTCTTTGCGATCAGTGATCGAAACTATGGATCAAAATGATTAGTACCATGGATGTCTAAATCTCACGTAAGTATCACACTCGAGTAAGATATCAACTGATTCTATTATATAATCTATTTTGATTGCATTGGTTTGACTTTTCTTGAAACTGAAACGATTTCATCGTATAACATCCAGCATCCCCGTTTTATAGCATCCACAAAAAAAAAACATGTTTGTTTTTTTAATTGAAAATGCAGCAAACAAGTAAAAAAAAACACTTTTCCGTGGAGAGAAGAATATCCAAAACGTAATATTAAGATCTGTTGATTAAAACAAGTCTCATGTATCAATCTTACACAAGTCACATGTAGTATAAATATAGTAAAGGATATTAAAATAGAAAACGTTACCTGGACACGTCAACCGAATGCTAGATCCATTGCATATAACAGGAGTTGTTGTTGTAAACGTTGAATACTTTGTTGTAGACGTTGAAGTGACCGTAGTGATAGATCCTGAACCATTTCTCATATTGATATATTGAAGTCCAAGTCTTGCTGGGCCCCGTGCCATAATAGAAAATGGTGTTGTTACATTAGGCAAATATGTTGTAAATATCAGAATATACGTTGTACCAGCTTGAAGTGTATATGTTATTAAAAATTGGTTATTTCCACCACTATCATCATTTGATGCAACAAGATTCAATGCGACATTAGTTGAATTGAAATTATTTAGATATAAATAACCATAACTATCTATACTACAGTTACTTTGGACTGTGTAATTTCCTGTTGCATTGACTATCACTTTAATTGCTTCAAAATAAAATATGCCCAAAGTTCCATTTCGAGTGAATGTGGGGCTGGTAGTATTCAATAAACTTGAGTAATTTGTTACAATGCCAGTAATATTGATTACATTTGGTCCAGAAACTATTTAAAAGAAAATATCTCACCATTCAAGTTATTAATGTGTAATTTCTTTCAGGTCAGAGATTTTTTCAAATTTGGCCTCAGAATAACATCAAGCCATGTCTTTAGCGATTAAGTTTTTTCAAAACGTACTTGCAGTCAATTAAACGCAACTACCATCTTATTAAGAGAGCATCTATAAGGAAACTGAATATGCAAGATATGCGATAAAAATTGCTTTTGCTCATTCAAACCATCAATATCTATAACTATCAACCCCGGGACTTAAGTTTCTAACATCCTTCATTTGAACAATTATCCAAGATCAACTTTTAGCAGTATCATACCTTTTTGGGAAAATACAAGAAAAGTACCATATAAAACATGTTCTCGCTTGCATTTCAACAGATCATTGAAATTTTTCATGATATATAATAGCAGAAGATAGAAAATAAAAAGCTGAATAAAACAATCTAAATTGATATTGTATATATTGCTTAGTAGTACAAAATTTTATAAAGCACGCATAAGCGAACAGAGAAACACTCCATTTTTGATGGTTTTTCAATAAAAATGAAAATTTTAGCAGTTTTTATTCGCATGGCACACTACTAAAGCATAATGGGTACGATATTCGAAATCAGCATCAAATCATACATCTAATCATATACATTTTAGCAAAAATGCTGTTTCATATAAAACTGACGTCTAGTTTTCCACAGGTAAACTTATTGGTAGACATGATATTATATGAAATGTAGTTTAAACCCTTAATACTCCATCTTCTGAAATATGCCATGAAAAATTTCAGTGATCTGTTGATATACTAACAGGCATATACTTTATAGGTTACTTTTTCCTTTTTTCTTCCCAACAAAGTGTGGCAACACTAAAAGTTAATATTAGTTAATTTTTCTAAGGAAGGGTACCAGAAGCTAAAATTTTTGGACTGATAGTTGTAGACATTGACGCCGTAAATGAGTAAAGAAATATGTTTATCGAGTGCCTCATATATTGGAATGTCACTCGATGAGCTTATGGACGCTTTCTTAAATATGGAAGAAAATTCGATTACTTTCATCTTAGTAACTCATTAGTGTTTTCTGTTGAATATTTTTGTTTTGAAAAACAAACAAACAAACGTTTCTATGAGAATTAGAGCTATAGATAGAACTAGTCTAGTTCTTGACGATCGGTACTAACGCTAGAAAATTAGATAGATTGGCTTAAAATGTGCACTGCTATGACAGCTTCTAGCTATAATACAATATGTAGAACTCAAATTATTGAATTATTTTTTTCGACATATAAACAATCTTTTAGTTTCTTGACACTAACAAAATTTCAGTATGTATTCAGTGTACGATATAAACAGGGCAAATGAGATCTTTACGGGAGTCTCGATGAGAAACATAGGAAAGTAAAAAAAAAACTTGCACCAAAGAATCCGAAGTTTTGCGACTCCGTGTATAAAAGTTTAGGTTCAATTTGAGTTTCGACTTTAATTTCCCAAATCTGATGAGTCTTTGTGAGATAAAGTATCCGAAGAAAGAAAAGAATCAGACACCTTCGAAATTTATATGAAAAATTTTGGATTTGGTTTTCTTCGAATATATATCAAAAGTTGAAATCATTTACGATTGAAACCAAATTGAAATTTCAAACTCAACCAAGGTTTGTTGCACGTCTACATTGGAAGTAAGTTATTAGGTCGGTAAGACCAATACACTGATCGATCTGAAATCGTACCGATATCAGTTTCATCTAGAACCAGAGGCTTGCTATAGAGTATTCAATGATTGGCTCAATGCTAACTGTAGGTTTGGTCAAGAAAAGAAATGAAGCTAAAATCAATTCATCATGCATACTAGTTATCATCGATGTTGTAGTAGTTGTACTAGTAGTTGATGATACCATATTCAAACGAGTAAGAGAAACTCTTGCTGAGCCCCATGCCATAATAGAGAATGGTGTTGTTACATTAGGCAAATATGTTGTAAATATCAGAATATACGTTGTACCAGCTTGAAGTGTATATGCTATTAAAAATTGGTTATTTCCACCACTATCATCATTTGATGCAACAAGATTCAATGCGACATTAGATGGATTGAAACTATTGACATACAAATAACCATAACTATCTATACTACAGTTACTTTGGACTGTGTAATTTCCTGTTGCATTGACTATCACTTTAATTGCTTCATAAAAGTATGTGCCTGATCCTCCAGATCGAGTGAACGTTGAACTGGCATTGTTCAATAAACTTGAATAACTTGTTATGATTGCATTTGGTGGATAGGTTGAAGTAATAGCTAGAATTATGGAAGATGAATATGATCGAAAAGTTTTAATAGAAAAAAAAATGAAGGGTTCATTTCAAGAAAATTGTTCAGCATTTATATGAATGTGGAAGAATTGCTTTTTGAAACACATGCACAAGAATAGATTTTATACCATTATATGAATTCTAGTTGGTCTACCTGTTTCTTCTTTGTCTTATCTCTATGATTCTTATCTTTGATGGTATGTCTTCCTTGTTCTTCCCTATATTCGTTTCTGTTTGTTGCTCTTCTGTCTAAGCGTGTGTTGAACGTAGAACAGAAAAATTTGGAATATGTGAGGTAACTCAATAAAAATAATTGTCCGGGCCTACGGCAAATCATTCCATTCAGTATATCGTTACAGGAAAAATAAAACCACGAATCATTCAATCACTTTCTGTTGAAACTCTCTGCATTTTAAGAGGGAATCTATAAATATTTCGGTTTCTAGAATATGAGAAGATAAACTTATACATCATTTTTTTCGAACTCAATTCAGTACAGCTCTAAGTACTCTTCAATACTCAATATTCAATGATTTTGATTATTACTTTGATGTTGCTTTTAAATGTTCACATTCCATTAGCTCAGACTATTTGTTGATTATAGCACATTTGTGTGTACTCAACCTTGTATCACAGAAACAAGATGATAATTAACGTGAAACTTTCTAAAAATCTGCACACTATACAACAATATGTGCGTCGATGCTAATTTTTCCGAGAGAACAAGCACTCATTGCCGGACAACTAGATTAGCTTATCAAAAAAATCTATATTCATATTCGATTGAGACAATATGTTGACGATTTTTAACAATACTGAACAGTTGTTATAAATATTTTTTGTATCAAGAAATAAGTATAGATTCTTGATTAGCTAATACGAATACCATCTTTACAAACCGGAAAGCATATTTGAGTTCTAAATCTCTGAAGGGGGAGTACGACGATACGATTGCCAGAAGGGCATCCAGTTTTTTGTATTATTTCTTTTGGAAATTTCGATTCCGAGCGTCCACGGTAAATAAACCGTTAGCACATTATAATTTTAGGAAGAATTAATTTTTTCAATATACCATTCGTCAAATCGTGAATTTCTCTACAAGACTATACATATCATATCCCAATTCAAGATAGGTCAGAAAATCCAGAGGTAATATGTGAGTCTTTTTCACCTAATATTCACCGAATTTCGATCAGAAAAATGACGATTTGATCGAAATTAATAATATATTTTGCATCAACATCGACATTTTTGTTATCGAACAAGTTCACCATACTCTCCCTAGATTTGGACCGAAAAAAAAAGAATTTCATCAAAAAGTTATTTCAGTGATGGCAAACGACTTCTAAGGTTGTAAAATGATAGTAGAAAACAAACTAGCAGAAACCTAAACAATTCAAATAGTGTTTTAATGAAGTTCATTTTGTGGTCTAACCCTGAGAAGGAGTACAATGAATTTTCGCTATAAAAAAACAATTCATATCAACAGAAGACTCATAGTAAAAACAAACGTGAATCAAATATCGGTAATTTGTTTATGGTAAGACGCGATTTTTATTGAAAGAGTTGCAAGGGGATTTTTGGTGTAGTTTGATGTGTTTTTTTTCATGAGATGTAAATCGATCTTCACGGACAATAAAATGACACAGGTACAGGCAAAACAAGGAAACTAGCTAATAGCATCTTCTGCAACCTGCTTTTAATGAAATCTCTGTAATCTAATTTTTTTAAAAATAAACCTTATTTTCCATGAATAATCAATTGATGTACAAAAGCTATATGCTAATTTTTGATTATCAAATTAATTTTCTCGATAGGCACATCAAGTCTATCTATAGACTATTATCAAGAATATAGGAGTTCTATGGAGCATTATTATCTTTCTCTAATAAGTTTTGTCTTAAAATTAGAGTGGATTTAACAGTTATATGCGAATAATAAAATACATAGTAAAGATACGATTCTCTAATATTTAAGTTTTAATCTATTTACTTGTTACTGGAGCAATAGTAGTAGTAATTACTGTTGATGTATTGGTTACAGGAACAAGGGTAACTCTTGTTGCTCCAGATACAATTACTGTATATGGCCCTGTTATACCTTCTGAATAGGTTGTTGCAACTAATATGTAGACAGTATTTGGTTGTAGATAAAATGTGAATTGAAACTGTGAATTAAGACCATTATCATCATCTTCTCCCAACAAATTTAATGATGTTGAAGATGGAAGGAAATTGTTTATATACAAGTAACCGTATGTATCAAGAGAAGAACTACTTTTGAATCGATAATAACCAGCTGTTGAAACATTTACTTGATAGGTTTCATAGTAATAATTTGCCGTTGTTTGTCCACGACGTATAAATTTTCGACTACTTGTTGTCCATGTCGATGAATAGGTGACATTGACTCCATATATATTTACTAATTTGTAAAATGAAAAACAGAGAGATTTTAAACTCTTCACATTCTCAACACAGAAACATTGAGTTTTCCCTTCGAAAACCTATTATTGTGGTAGATGTAGATGTGTGTGAGAATGAAGAAGAAATGATAGCATGGTAAACGCTTATAACAGTTTAGAGAAAATCGAGCTATATTACATTTTATTTGCACTGCCAGATATACCTTCTATTTTTCACCAGTGACACAGGAAGCAGTAAATATAACTTTACTTTTCTGTCGTCGAATCTAGTATCCCATCAAGTCGCACCCTTGCCCCATCAAAAATGATCTCGGCTCAAGAAGATTCAAATCATATCAAATTTCCAGGATATGTTGGGACTGTCGTGAAAAAAAAATAAAATTTTAAGGTCTCAAAAAATGATGCTCTAATAATAATAAAAACTCTGTCATATACTAGTAATAAAGCTTAATTTAAGCAACAGGCTCTGTATCTTAACATGATCTTTCTATGATAGAATCCATTTTTGGCTACAACGATTTTCCTTCGACTGCTCTAAAATAGTCATTCCAAAACAAAACAAAAACGCAAAAGATTTTCGGATTGTTTTCTTATTTTTCAAGTAAAAGGTAATGGAAATCATCAGCTTTTTCTAGAAAAACTAGTCATACGAAATAAAAACTCATATCATTGTTGGAAGAACAGGTTTCGGCTATCTTTTCATAGTCTTGTCTTAATTTTCATGTTTTTGACGAAAATTGACCTTTTTCGAGGAGAAGTGAGGACAACTCAATGTGCTGTTAGGGGGAACTGTGAGTAAACATTGTTTTAAATTCGCCTGAGCTTAACCATGTTGTTTTTCGATTAATATCTGCCATTTTCCATGCACACGAACAAATGAATACTTAAGTTTTAAGCTATTTTTCATTACTTTCAAAGATGCATCCAATGTTTATTTATATTTTGTTGTTATGCTTCTCATCTGAAAAGTTCTGATTTAACGAAAACGTGTAACTGTGACTGAAAAAAATCAGAATTTGGATCCACAGAGCCCTAATTGCTATATATATCCTACTGACATGAGTTTTGTCTAGAATAATTATTCAATGAGTTCAGATGTCTCTTGGTCCGTTCCGTTCTGACTCTGCTTGATCATAAAAGAGTACCTTCTTTCACTGGACGAATAAAATCAAATCGTGATATTTAGACTAAGCAATTAGAATATGCAGAGTTTCCGGTTGATACATTTCTATATCGTTACACTGTACTATGAAATGTATACAGTAACGTTTGGATTCTTCGTTTCATGATTGTTAGAGTCTGGATTCTTTTTTGTTCTCAATGTTTACATGAAAAGTAAAGCTTTTCCGGCTAGATATGTATGTGTGTTTAGAATACTGAGGTCGAATGTTGTAAACTCATATGTTTTTTTTACTTTTTCCATCACTAAATGTACCAGAACGAAATAATGTGGGCATTCCTGAAGCAATCATATACCCATCTTTTACACTTTAGAATGAAAAGTCTTCTTAACTCTAATTAGTTCTTTAATATCTGCCAATCGCATCTCAGCACTGACTTTTTTCTACTTATTTTCGATGTAGAGCATGGACTATCCGATTTTCAGAACCTTCTGATAGATTGTGAGGATGACAATAAGTTACAGCGATGAGAAGATATTGATTCACCATTTCTGACATAACTTTCCTTCTGTCTCATCCTAAATACCAATCAAAGCAGTTTCTTATGTAGAAAACTATGGAAGATAAAATATGGAACAGAGGGACAGAAGCAAGAATATATCGTATGGATTATGAATAATAAAGAGAGCATAATATGTTACAAAGAAGAGGAGAACGCAGATCAAAGTCTATAATAGTCAAGAAATAGTGTTAAAAGGGAGCTTGCTGTTTGCAGGGTGTCCAGCGAGTATTTTAACTAGTGGCTATTCATTCCTGAAAATTTCAGCTTATATGGTCTATTTTCTGTGTTGAATCTATCGAGAGATGAATCTTTGTAAGTTGAAAAACTGATCATTGATGAAAACTCAACCTTATACTTCTATCTATGTGATATAAACCACAGTGAAGCGTTCAGTCCAATAGAAAGATAACCTGACAGTAAGCGAAATGATAGATTATATTTTGTTTAATTGGGCGCTTAACCATCGTTAATCGACAATCGAGAAAATGAGTCTAAATCAACAGGCCATTTTCAAAAGGTTTATGACACATGGATATACTTTTTTGTATTTGAAAAAGCAAACAGTGTTCGTCAGAAATTAAAATAATAGTAATTTCCAATTAAAATTTTTCTCTTAATGTTTACTCTATTAAAGTAAACAATAGTTTTACTCTACACATATTTGAGTGAAAAAAGGTCAGAAGAATAATTTCTTACATGGAGCAGGTGTTGTCGTTGGTGGTAGTGTCGTACCACTTGCCGTACAATTATAAAAGCGTCGAAGTGCTTGAACATCATACACGCTCAAGTTACTCCGCTGTCCCAAAGTAACATTTGCTTGATTTGATTCAATAGTCGGCAAACCATTTACAGAAAATGCATACTGACTATAATGCATTAATGATCCATAATCATACGGTGTACCATAAGTATTCACTGTATTATTATCATATTTATCAAAATTATATTCCATGCCTGAATGATTAGAACAAACATTTATTGACAACTTTAGTTTGAAATATTTAATGTTACGAAAACCGTAACCAATAGTTCTCAGTCAAAGAAGTGAATTGGAATTAGTTATCCAGTTCTTTTCAAAAGAACTGGTTCTTTAATCTTTTTTTTCTGATTGGCAAAGCACCTACTGAGTGCAATCATTAGATTACCATTGCCAATAGAACTAGATGAATTGCACAGTATAGGTTATTAGGGTCAGAACTAAAAAAAACCAATTACTAGAACCAAGTCTCAGAAAAAGAACTAATTTATATAACCGTGAGCTGTCATCAGTCTAAATGTTTATATCAAACGGTGAATTTGTTCTTTGTTTTCAAATCGTACTTCGATAGCTCACAACGTCCTTATGATATTCTATTTTTAATGCGATATCCTCTTCATTCAAACTCAAATTAAGATGCCTTACTGTAATCAGGTTACAGGAGCTTCTAGCAGTTAAAATTCATCAATTAATCTTCTTTACAAGAGTGGATTCTGAAGGCTAAAAGGACAAGTATCAATATGACGTGTTTTTGTGTTCAAAATATATTTTACATATTCAAAGCAATATTAAGCTCTAGAAGTTTTTCTCTGACGAAAAATGACTTTCACTTTTTACCCATATTTTAGCCGTCCGTGAGCGAACTGAAGAATGGTAGCGAAAACATAAAAAAAATTAAAGAGAGGGTAAGCTAACGAAAAAAATATTTACAGAAGAAGAAGGAGCCAAAATCATTTACGACGAAGGCATTGCACTAGTAACACATCCGACGAGGTGACTAAGCTACCCCGCCAGGAAAGCTTTTGAAAAATGTGTTTTTTTTGTCCAAATCTCGATACATGTTCTTTCAGCTATCAGAATGTGTTTACTTCAAAGATATTGATCGATAAAACTTAACTACTAGCGATATTTGTAAGTCGAACATTGGACGGCGCCTTACCTATGTTTGAAGGAACAGGATCTCACATTAAAAATAGATATCTTAACGATTGTTCGAGCTATTGAAGTGTAATTGATAGCAGAACAAAAACTCACTTATTGTTGTACACATATAAGTGAAACAGAAATAAAAAACAAACTGTTTGAGTACCATAGGTCGCACCTTATGCTAATAAGAAAAATTACACTACCTGCTTGTATATTAGCCCACTTGATGGTAACATAGGCATCACGATCGGGTCTTGATTGTTCATGTTCAAAACCTAATGACGGAAAGAAAAACGAAACATCATTTTTATTAATTTATTAAGAAAAGAAGATATTGATAAGAATGTATAGGCATTTTCCTCAAGTGATATCCACATATGATCAATATTATTTGCAATATCGCACAAGTCTTACTTTTTTCTCACAATTTTTATATATACGAGGGTATTGTGCTCGTATTGTATGGATGTGGCGATGGATATAAGTACGAGTTTTCTTCGAGTATATATCTACAGTCCTAGTATTGAGGAAAATGTTCACACGGGGTAAAAATTGTGTACAGTTCATATTTATTATCGTATTTCCATGATGTGCGCCTTAAAATAAGTTCAAATTTCAATTTAAATGGCAGATTCAGAATCAGTATCGCAAAATCCACCGACTTTTGTCAATATTAGTGAAAGCTGAATCTGATGAAAACATATACTTGTATTGCGCTCAGCTCTATCATTTGAAAATTCTGTCAGTAGATTTATACTTCCTGCAGAACGACTTTTCTCTGAAAAATATTGTTACTTAAAAGCTAGATAATTCAAGGCAGTTCTTTTTTATCCGTGTGAACATTTTCAACAACTTAGCTTAAGCTGAAACTCGGCTTCGAATGGTATACTTATTGGAATAGTAATAGAGAAAAACTTTTTGACCAATTCCTGAGAGGAACACCAGGTCGAAAAATTCAACTGGAAGAACTTTCCAAAACTCAGTTGCGAATAATTTTCTCCGTGGTCATTTAATTTTTTATAACTTTTTTGGACTGAATGTCAAGTGTCGAAAATTATTTTTATAAAATGACTCTATTGACTGATGAAGTTTCTTCTAAGAACTAGGGCTTGAAAAACAATTAAAGCTTGCCAAAAATAACACAAAGAAATCATCGATTGATCTGTTCTAGTTACTGATACATCAAATAAACCAAATAAAAAATCTATTAGGAGTTTTACTAGAATCAGACATCTATAGAACAATCCAGATATATCAAACAATATGTAGCATACGAACCTAATGCATGTAATAATTCGTGCATAATTGTTCCAACACCGAGACAACCAGAACTTTGCAATGTAACTGTACGATTTAAGACAATGCCTGGATTTTGTCCAACCTAAAAAAAGAAGAAATTCAAGTAGAAATTATATAGAATTTTTTATTATCATATATATATATACGTATATGCTTAGAATACTTACGTATGATGAACAACCTTCCCCATTATAGAATATAATATAATACGGATCGGATAAATTTCTTGGTCGAAACTGTACACAACGATAGTTATTGTCAGCTACTGTATTTTCTAACATTCGCATTGCAGCAGTAATAATTAATTCTTGTTCATAAGCTAAACAGCGATTATCATGATTTCGTTTTCAATTAAGAGAATACGAACTATATCCTGGTGCAAATATGTATGGAACAATTCCATTTGGCCATGCAACTCCACTACCACGAAGTATTCCTGCTCGCTATATTTCGTTGGAAATACCAAATAAGATGAATGTCATGAGAATAATAAATAAAAAATAAACTTACGCCATGCGGTCCAGTAATATTAGGATATTCCATATCACCTCCATGTCGATGTTCTATAAAATGAAAAAGAAAAACAAATAGTAGACATGAGACCTGATTTGATTTACTTGAACTAAGTTGTTAGATTCTTAAAGAAGAGAGATTTTTAGATGACAGCCGACCGAACAAGTTAAGCATCGTTTAACTTCCTTGTTTTCAAAATGATTACTCACGATAAGTCATTGGATGCTCAAAAATGAATCGCGTTGTGTACGAACTCTGGCAAAAAACCTTATTGTAAAGCATATAGATACCGCTTCGCAATCTATATTCATGACAGATTATGTTGCCTCTTCGGCGAGTTTATTTTTAGCGGTTTTATGAATTTTGCTCTACAGAGATTCAAAAATATTACTACAAATAAACGTCTGTGTGGCTTCGTACTAATATTTTTGCGTACAGGTAAGTGTTCGATTGGATTTTCTGAGTAGAAAAAAAATCATCTATCATTTTACTATGTAAGGTGGTAGCATTTACAGAAGATTACCTGTATCAGTAATCTACGGTAAAGTAGTGCATTGATCGAGAAATGCAACAACAAAATGAGTCAGTTTGATGCAAAATTATCTTAGTTATTTATTCTACAAATCACAATTCTATAGTTTCTTTTGTTCAAGAAGCATCATATTTTTCTTTCTACAGATTAGACTATCGAATTTTGATATGAAACTATGTTTAATTGATTTCCAATGATTATTTTTTTCTTGTCGCCAAAACATGAGTCATCTTTTCGCAATTGATTTTGATCAAAGTTTTTTGAAAAAATACGGAATATACATATCTGAGTTAATAATGTGATTCACAACTTACTATTTAGTTCCAGTTCGTTTTGTGTTGGCAAGCCTTTCTTAAATAAACAAAACTATAGCTGTAGCAAAATCAATTGATAAATTATGCTAACCTTCGACGTTGGAAGCTCACTGGTTTGACTAATGATGATGAAGCCAACTAACACAATAAGATATGTGTTCATCATTGGTTGTCTTGAATAACGTGTATGAACAATAATTCTTGTTTGAATACCTATGAAATATTTACATATCATCCGCATTAGTATGTCTCTCAATTCGGTTTTAACTGGATATCACGTTTTCTTGTGGATGATGGCGTGCTGATATGGAAATCTTTCACTCTTTTTAACAGTGGTATACTCTTTGTGTTGTCTGCTCCATTCTTATAGATTCTAATTATTAAGGAAGACTTTATGAGTCGAGACTGTAGGTTTCGAAGGCGACGGTGAAATACCATGCGTTGACACGAGTTTATACCTTCTCCGCCTAGTATTCACCAAGTTTCAAAACTAATATCATATTTTAAATCAGCATTAAACAAGCCGGTCTACATGTATTTCACACGCTTTATTTTTTCACTAGAAAACTACCCGTACTCTCCTTGGCATTGGGACGAAAATGGAGTTTCGTTAAAAAAAGTCACTTCAGCAGTAACAAATAATTTCTTACATTGTAAAATGAAAGTATAGCACAAGGGGTATATGTTAAAATAATTAAAATACTGTTTTGGTGATATTCAATTTTTTTTATCAAACCCTGAGTGTGGTAGAGGGAATTTTCCACGAGAAAAAAACGTCTGAAATACACAGAGGATGGTTCAGTTTTTGATGCTGTTTCAAAGTATGATATTTGCTTTAATGAAATCGTAATTTTTTTTTTAAACGAAATTCAGTAAATACGATGTTGGCATGATTAAAAATTATGTCAACAACTGGTATCTCAATTCTTTTAACTGTTTCTACTTCGAATCTAGAGGCAGCTTTGCCAGAACACTGTTGATTTCTTGATCTGTAACAATCGTAACATTCCAAGCATAACAAAACTGACTGAATATGATTGATTTCATATTTTCTGGTACTCTATGTGCTATATTAGAATAGTCATCGAAGAAAATTCAAGATTTATTCGTTTCTTTCGGAACGTCTCACGCTCGCAAAAGACTAACAGCTTCCCACTCATATTGCGCGCTGGTTTATTTCGACTACGGAAAGAAATTTCATTCTCATCTTAGGAAAAAGGTCCAAAGTTTACTGCTAGCCCAACATCCAAAATTCATACACATGTTATTTCGATCATACGACATGCATCGGCGATTCTAAGATGTTGCATCAGGTTATTCAAAGTGGTTGCACTGCGTGCTACTTCAAGATTTTCAAGGCTAACTTTGTCATGGCCTCCGCCACCCAAAACACAAATCAAGCCAAAATCCACTTCGACTCAACTTCATTCATTGAATGTCAACTCCATACAACACCTACACAAACTCGAATCCTATTAATACCTAAACCCAATATTCTCCAACACGGTGACACTGCAGTCTGCCAAAGAGGTACAGTCGACATTTATATAAAGAATTGTTTCTTATGCGCCCCAGCGGATGATGTCACTTTCTGGTTCCATGGCCGAAAACCTAGAAGTCGAATCCCAAAGTGGGCTCTGTTATTGGAAATTCGTAACCAGCTATGGTCTCCTTTTCTGGAGACTCGGAATACGTTGTAGATTCCTGTAACTAGGAATTCGTACAGGATTCGCATTTCTAGGTACGAGCGCACTGATCAAGTTGCAGGTTCCATGTTTCTATACCTGGTGTGGATTACGTTCCTAGGAGCCCAAAAACTCATACCAACTTGATACAGATTGAGCGCATGAGCACGTACATAGATCTCAATATTATCAGAAACTCGAGGAAACGAATCTTCAAGTGGTCACCGTTGCTTAGGAATGGAACTCTAAGAAAAGGGCAGCCTGAGATGATTAGTAATGGTCGGATCTCGAGTCTTGTGCATGAGATAAAAAAGCTGTTAGTGCAATCCCTTGCGGGATTAAAAATGTGAAGCACGATGAATCTATTCTTACTAGTTAAATGGAAATCGTTTTGTTCCATTTGCTTCGATACATTTGTAGCTAACCGCTTATCTAATGCTTTAGAACCACAGTTCCTCTATCACCGTCTGTGATGGGCTCCGAGCCTCTCTGTCACGGTCCGTTATGGGTCCCGGGCCTGTCTGTCACGGTCTGTGATGGGTTCCGGGCCTGTCTGTCACGGTCTGTGATGGATTCCGCGACTGTCTGTCACGGTCTGCGTTGGGTATTGGGATTTTTCTGTTACGGTCTGTGATGGGTCCCGGGCCTGTCTGTCACATATGATGGGGAATTCGAATTTGCGGCAAATTCATTATATAGAGGTAGAGAAGCATCTTGAGGATGAGGAAGGTACCCTTGGGGAACAACAAAGCGAGGGTGAGGAGGGTACCCTTGGGGAGAGGGGCATCCTTGAGGGGTACCCTTGAGAGAGAACAAAGTGAGAGCGAGGAAGGTACCCTTGCTGGTACCCTTGAGGGACAACAAAGTGAGGGTGAGGAGGGTACCCTTGAGGGTGCCCTTGAAAAGGTACCCTGAAGGTGGTATCTTTGAAGGGCTACTCTTAAGATGGCTGTACCCTTCGGTAGGAGATTTCTTTGTCTTTAAAGAAGCTATAGAGATACAGCGGTATAAGAATACTTATACCGCTATACCGCTATACCACTATACCGCTATAGCGGTATAGCGGTATAAGCATTCTGAATTTGCCGCAAATTCAAATTCCCCATGAACTCGTCTGTCACGGTCTGTGATGGGTTCCGGGCCTGTCTGTCACGGTCTGCGTTTGGTATTGGGATTTTTCTGTCATGGTCTATGATGGGTCTAAATCCCTGTCTGTCATGGTCTGTGATGAGTTCCGGGCCTGTCTGTCACGGTCTGCGTTGGGTATTGGGATTTTTCTGTCACGGTCTGTGATTTCGGAGGCTCTCTGTCACGGTATGCGATGGGTCCGGAGGTTCTCTGTCACGGTATGTGATGGGTCCGGAGGTTCTCTGTCACGGTCTGTGATGGGTATTGGGGTTTCTCTGTCAGGAGGGGGGGGGGGGGGGGGGGCA